AGCGCTGACTGAAGACAAGTTTTGAGACCCAGAATGTCTGGAGCTCATGCTTTTACTTCTGGTTGCTCCAGCAATGACTGACGATAGGTCTGTGACATTTGAATGCCTGGAACTTGAACGCTTAGATCTGGCGGTTTCTGCTTTGGATGACGACAGATCCGATTTGTTATAAGTTCTCGGCGTGCTGCATTGTGACCTAGTTTCCAGCGTACTGTGCATATTTTCTTCCTGTTTGCACAAGATTTTAGGAAGGGTTAATTTAGTGATATCTTTCATGAAACTGAGTTAGTTTCACTTTGCTATGCCTTAGACTGGCTGTGCTGTGGGGATTTCACACACACGTGCTGCTGTATTAACAGTTAAGAGTCTTTTCTGTGTTGTGGGGCTTGCTGTAGCGTTTTCACACAATGTGCTCTGAAGTAACCCTGTAAGTCTTTTTACTGTCCTGCCTTCTTTGCAGTTATGAAAGGGTTACAGAGGGTTAACAGGCAGTATAACCTTTGATATCCACACAGTAAAGAGTCGATGATTGATAACCGATGATCTTTTACTGATAACATGTGAACATAGCACATGAAGTGTGAATGAATGTGAGAATGAATGAATGGTAAAACTGAAATACAAACAGAATAAAACAGACATGAGTACATATCTAACTTCCTAGCTATATGCAAAACATTCCACAGTACATAGGAGGGGTACTTACAGACTTTGGGGGTCTAATCAAGCCCATATATGAAGAGAGAACAGCATCCACATCTACTTGCATAGTAGAATTTCTTCAGTCTGAAGAGATGAGGTCACTTCCTCCCAAGTTAGCAAACAGGAAGTCCCTGGCCTTAAAGGGGACAGACACTGCTGAATGTTAAAGAATGCCATGTGTAATACAAGGCAGCACAACCACATTAAGAATGTACTGGAACATGCACACCTTGCTGCCCTCATATGGACCGGGGAAATCCAAAAATATACTGAATGAGGAAAGACAAAACAGAGGGCGCACAGGCCTAGTGCATCAGAGCCTCTGAGGAAGAGGCAAGTCCTCGAAACGCGTCAGCCTTTTGGATGTCTAAACTCCCTATTGCGACTGTTACTCAGCGCGGTGTTGACCCAGCTGTTCTTTATGATGTGCCTTGACTACATTGTCGTTTGTGAGTACAACACATACTTTATTTTTTATTAAACTATTCCACCCCCCACTGACACCAATGATGGGGGCAAGAAGATTCTTCCCACTGGTGTGCATTGGAAGAGGGGTAGTCTTATACGGCGAGTATAGCCCAAACCACTACATTTTAACAGGAAAAGTAGGGGGGGGTCGCCTTATACGCCCAGTCGTCTTATACGCCCGAAAATATGGTATATTTTATTACTTATGGTTATACTGAACTTTATGCACCTTTTTTAATATCACTTGTTTTTAATATGCACCCTACTACATCGTGGCTGCCTTACTAGATTTAATCATATTTTGTCATGTAAGTTTATTCTAATGATATGTGTGTTTTAATGTTTTTTTCATATTTTATTTGAAAAAATATTCTATTTTTAAGAAAAACTGCACCATTTCATATTATCTGTGTTATTTACATTACAGTGCCAACAAGCATGTATTAGACTTGCATGAAACACTAATAAAATGGCGGCCGTGTTTCCCATGCATGCGCAACAACCTACACAACCTGGGGTATTTCATTTCTTATCCCAGTCACGTATTGTACCTTCTCTCAGGGTGGCTAGGAACTATGGCTGGTGTTTGATTTCTAAATTATATCAGCCTAGTACAAGGCACAACATTATTCCTCTCCACCCTGGCTGACATCTTCAATAAAATGGCGGCCGCGCGGCTCGCGCATGCGCAGTTTGGCGTGGTTTTACAGGGCTTTCTAACCATAAAATGGCGGCCGGAACACTCACGCATGCACAGTGGGACACACAGCGGCCATTTAGAATTCGGAAAATCACCAAAAATATGGCGCTCGCGAAGCAGCGCATGCGCAGTGCGCCAGACTTCGGCAAGATGGCGCTGACGCAATTAGGCACATTTTTTCTCTATATATGAGCAATGTGACGTCCCGGCCTGCATAGCATCACCCCTACAACAGACGTGTGTTTACATAAAACGCGTCTAGGAGGAGCCCTTGCACGCCTTGACATCACACCGCTGGATCAGGAGGTCCGGTGGCCACCCTAGGATTTCTACTGTTCAGTGCTTTTATCATTATAGACAAGCAGCTTTCTATCTCTACCCACAGTCATTGCCATGTGTGTACATTCTGCTTAATTCAATTTAATAAACCTTTTATCAACATTACTACACTATGAGCACCTTTATTCTCTATACCTGGCACTGAGCCTCCACACCTCAGCCCCAATATTCCAGGCATTTGTGCAGACTTGAGGAGTAAGTACGTTATGACCAGACCGGTATCCTTCTCTCACACACCACTGAGTGACCACCAGAGGATTGCATTACCAGGCAGCACCTACCTAGGACCCCCAGCTATATGTGATCTTGATATGCACATTTAGATTGCGCTTCTGGTGAGTAGGCAATCTATCTATATCTCTATATCAGGATACTGGACCATACCTGCATTGATTGAAGTCACCTATAATTTTTGGACTATCTACTTCACTTGTTATTGTTGTACTGGACATTTGGTGTTATTTATTTATCTGCTGAAGATAGGTTCAGCCTGGTCATCACTCTTTGTAGCGCTGCACTGCCCATTGTATTGACGGGCAAATCTGAAAGCAGAAATGTGAAATCTGAGCCAATCACAGTTGTGGGCGTTCCCTTCATCAGCCAATAATAACGTTCTGATTAGGAGTCCAAATAAATGTATCCTGAGATCTGTCTCCGTCTCCAGCCCAGAAAATACTTGTTCCGTAGACTTTCCATTGATCTCTATAGCGGGGCGGATTCTGTATTCTGAATTACAAATCGAAGCCGGAAACCGATCTGACATGAAGATGTCCAACGGATTTCCTATTCTTGGTCCATTAAACTGCCCGAGATGAAGGGCCCCTTCATGATCGAAGTTCTCCGGAAGAAGGGGGGTTAATGTCGGTATTTTCAGTGTCGGGTCGGAGGATCGGAGAAGATTCCATAGAATTCCGGCGGGAAATTTGAATTGAAGAATTCGAATGTTGGGATCGGTCAGTGACTGGTTTCCTCCATTCCCTCCATACATATATGCTTCGTACACCAAGTCCTGTGGAGTGATGTCCCCCTCAAGTCGGAGATCCTTTCCTTACGTTGTCGCAAGATCTAAAATAACTGATTTTATTACCCCTGCTGTACACTGATAATAACAGATACTACACTTTATCTTAGCGAAAAGGACAAATGTTATACATTCATAGAAAATGCTTTCAGTGTGAGACTCTGGGGAAATGACATCTTATTCCAGGGACTGATCTTATCCGCCTTCCTTTAGTTGTGATGAGTTTCTCCTGAAGATCAGAGATCGTTCAATATATACCGAACAACGATCCTCCCGAACTGAGGGAACAGATCTCATCACCTCCTTCACACTCCACGTAGAAAAAAAGATGTTTTACTATCTGAAGAAAACGTCTATAACTGTCATTGGATCCACTTTCTAATTGCTTCATTCAAATCTCCCGCCGGAATTCTATGTGACGTCACAGACAATCCGCCCTCTTACCGCCAAATCCGATACGGAGAGCCGACCGCATCCATTTACCGTTTTATCTGGGAAGATCGATCAACCCTTCCATTCATTCCAGGCTCTGCGATCAGCCAAACATCATTATAGGAGCATTACGAATATTCATATGAAATGTGTTATTGTCACTCCAATCCCTCAGAATACAAAACCCGACAAGATCTAGTTATTAGTCTGTTGATTTAGTTGTAGAGAAGAGATCAATGAAAAGTCTACAGAACAAGAAAACACTTCCTGCACTAAGAAACATCGACACCCGAGATCTCCGGATACATTTCTATGGACTTCTCGTCAGACAAACATTACTGGGTGATGGAGACAACGCCCACAGCTGTGATTGGCTGAGGATCCGAATTCTGCCCGCCGGAATTGTGTAGACCGTTCCAAAGAAATATTCCGCCCGATTATACCGCCAAATCCGAGCCGGAGAACAAAGGAGATCATCAGATGAGACATTTATCGGCGAATAATCACCAACACTTTCATTCCAAGTAGAGTTATCAATTAGTCAGAAATGTCTACAAATTAATTCTGATGATTTACTGAATCGTGTGAAACATTTCTATATAGAATTGGACATTGCAATATCAGATCTGTATACGATCATGTCACAATGACCGATGTGTGTTTTGTCTCTCTTTTTAGACACTAAAGCAGGACCCCACGTGACCCCCCCCCCCCCCCCCATATCACATTCAGAATATTGATAATACAAAATGTGAAATGACTGGTAGGAATAAGTAGTGATCATGACACTGCCAGATACATATGTACAATGAATCGGTAGAAATAATATAACGTCTGAAGAACCAAATAGGTTTCCTCTTAGAAACTTGTAAACATTTTGCTGATTTCTAGTTACAAAGTGATATTCTTTGCAGAGGAATGCATTGCTGTGGCCCCGCCTATTTCTTTCAGTCTCCCATCAGGTCCGCAATATTTATAAACAGAAACGTGGGTTATCAGTATATATTTTCCTGTTCACGGTAATATTTATACATTTGACATTATAATAAACAATAGTAACTGGTGATGATGGTTTGTGTTTCTGAAATGTGAAAGATGAATGTTTCTGTGTAATCTCCGAGGAAGAAATAGAAAACCAATGAGCAGAATTAAATAGATTTCTCTCCTGGAGATGTCTATATATTTGAAAATCGCAGAATGTGTATAATGGTTACAAATGAATACAATTGTATTGTGTGTAATGAATGGGTGTGACTCCGCCTCTTCCCAGGAAGGTTCCCATCAGGTCCGCTCAGGCTGTATAAAAGGAAGGCGGGCCCAGCCCCAGAGCTCAGTCGGTGTTTGCAGCAGAGAAGAATCGTCATGTCTGGTCGCGGTAAAGGAGGGAAGGGTCTGGGGGAAAGGCGGCGCCAAGCGCCACAGGAAGGTGCTCCGGGATAACATCCAGGGCATCACCAAACCCGCCATCCGACGTTTGGGGCCCGCAGAGGGGAGTCAAGCGCATCTCCGGCCTCATCCTATGAGGAGACCCGCGGAGTGCTGAAAGTCTTCCTGGAGAATGTCATCCGCGATGCCGTCACCTACACCGAGCACGCCAAGAGGAAGACCGTCACCGCCATGGATGTCGTCTATGCTCTCAAACGGCAGGGACGCACCCTCTACGGAATTCGGAGGATAAATTCTCACAACCCCCCCCCCCCCCCCCCCCTTTCATCGTCACAAAGGCCCTTCTCAGGGCCGCCCACCTTTTCATACAAAGGGCTATTGATTTATGATCTCCAGGGTTTCTATTTGCTCCTCCCGGGGGGAGAAGGATCGCCGCTCATTCCAGTAATGGGGGGGGGGGGGGGGGTGATGGAACTATCCGTTAGTTATTCTATAGAAACAGGATGACGTCATGTATAGATTTAGTTCGGCAATTCCACTAATGAATCTGTCCAATCACCTGATTTGGTTCTTCACATACATGTCATTTCTCTATCGATTCATTGTACAAATTATCTGGCAGTGTCATGCTTTTTACCAGACATTTACGTATTAATCTGGATGTGATATGGTAAATGTCTGGGGGGGACACATACATATCGGTCAGTGACATGATCGTAATACAGATCTGATGAAGAATCGTACAATACTTTATTCCCATCATATAGAAAGGTAGAGATCTTGTGACATGTATAATGTCACTCGTGTTCTGTATGTTGGAGGGGAATCCTGGATTCTGAGAATGGATACAAGACAATATATGGAAGTGATCATCAGAATCCATTTCTAGTCATTGTGATTTAGTCCGCAAACACATTGGATATAGAGAATCCTGGGGACAGAGATAACAGAACAAGGATTGACATGACTCAGTAATCACCGACATCTGTAGACATCCCTGACTAATCAATACAACTGGGGGGGGGATTTGTAACTGCTACATGTCCCTAGAAGGAGGGACACGATCGCATACGGATCTGATCATGGAATCTACAATACTTGCATTCACAATGTTTTACATAATTCGGTAAATATGGAAATCCATCTCCAGACTCATCAAATACATCTACTTGGGAATGATGAGAGCGATGATATTTCTCGGATGTCTCATCTGATGATCTCCTTTGTTCTCCGGCTCGGATTTGGCGGTATAATCGGGCGGAATATTTGTAACGATTTACACAATTCCGGCGGGAAGAATTTGATGACAGTTTGAACTCTGAGCCAATCACAGCTGTGGGCGGTTCCTTCATCATCCAGTAATGTTCTCCTTACGATAAAATCCATAGAAATGTATCCGGCTTTTGTATTATGACAGGGGAAAGCTGAATTCCAAAGTGGAGCCAACAGACAGTTCTGGGCGATTCCTTTCAGATAATAAAAACATTTGATTCTTCTCGGAGTTTGATGAGATCTGTTCCCCTCAGTTGGGAGGATCGTTGTTCGGTATATATATTGAACGATCTCAGATCTTCAGGAGAAACTCATCACAAGTGAAAGGTGGAGATCAGTCCCCGGACTCCGATGTCCATTTCCTGGAATCTCACACTGAAATCATTTGTATTATTAATTGTATGAACCTTCATAATTGTCATCATAATGAAATGTAACATTTATAATGTTCTCTACAGATGGATTGTCCAATCACGTGATGGCAGGATATTAGACTTGAGGGGGGTCATCCCTCCCCAGGACTTGGTGTCCTATCACCTCCCCGGGAGATAGAGAGGAGTGTGGGATTGGTGTCCATAGAAGCCGTATGTCCGCCCTTTGTATAGAGATGTGGGGGGCTCTGAGAAGAGCCGTTGTGTTGGCGGATAGAAGGGAATCCTGTGGGGGGATTACTTGCTCTTGGCGGCCTTGTGGAGCTCTCGGTCTTCTTGGGCAGCAGCACTCGGCCTGGATGTTGGGCAGGACTCCTCCTGGGCGATGGTGACGCCGCCCAGCAGCTTGTTGAGCTCCTCGTCGTTGCGGACAGCCAGCTGGAGGTGTCGGGGGATGATGCGGGTCTTCTTGTTGTCTCGGGCGGCGTTGCCGCCAGCTCCAGGATCTCAGCCGTCAGATACTCCAGGACGGCGGCCAGATAGACGGGAGCTCCGGGCCCCGACCCGCTCGGCATAGTTTGCCCTTCCGGAGCAGACGGTGAACACGACCCGACGGGGAACTGCAGACCAGCCCGGGACGATCGGGTCTTGGCCTTAGCCCGAGTCTTGCCTCCTTGTTTGCCGCGACCAGACATGATTGGATGACTGACGAATCACACACAGATAGGTCCCAGCAGCCGCTTCCTCTCCTTTATACACTCCATGCTCTGACGTCACACGCTGGGATTGGTTGCTTTTTAGTTCAGCCAATAGCGAACAGACTTGTTTCTACACTAATCTGTACTCGAGGAAAGGAAGCATGACGTCACACTCTGCATGACATGAGCGAGTCCTCCAATAGGAGAGTGAGGAGGGATGAGGCTCCTTTGCATAGGCCCGGCTATAAAAGCAGCACATGAGGGCGGCTCCAGCACACTTTCCTTGCAGCCAGCCAAGCAGTGGTGAACCCTGATCATGCCTGAACCAGCCAAGTCTGCGCCGGCGCCCAAGAAGGGCTCCAAGAAAGCCGTAACCAAGACCCAGAAGAAGGACGGCAAGAAGCGGAGGAAGACTAGGAAGGAGAGTTATGCCATCTACGTGTACAAGGAAGGTGCTCAAGCAGGTCCACCCCGACACCGGCATCTCGTCCAAGGCCATGAGCATCATGAACTCCTTCGTCAATGACATCTTCGAGCGCATCGCCGGCGAAGCTTCCCGCCTGGCTCATTACAACAAGCGCTCCACCATCACCTCCCGGGAGATCCAGACCGCCGTCCGCCTCCTCCTGCCCGGAGAGCTGGCCAAGCACGCCGTCTCCGAGGGCACCAAGGCCGTCACCAAGTACACCAGCGCCAAGTAATCACCCCCCGGGGCCCATCATCCCAACAAGGACACAAAGGCTCTTCTAAGAGCCGCCCACCATTCCAATCACTGAGCTGTTATCACATTGTATTGCCGCTAGAGGTCCCACCACACCACGTCACACTTACACTGGACATTCGTCATTTCTGTAGTACAAGGGCCTCCCTCATTGGATACACATTGGAGGGGGCACCTGGTTTGGGGGAATCTACAGGAATGTTGTAGAATGTATGGCCGGCCTTCCATGGGTCATGACATCGGTCATTGTCGTACAATCTGATTGGAAGGTATAAATCTGAAGATGTATTCTAGGTACCAGAAATCCATCCGAGTCCCACATTTTCCTTATTCCGGAATTTCTGATGTTTTTCCCTCTTGGAGATGTAAAGGTTCTCATTTGTGTACATTGAATATTGTCTGCTATTGGGAGCCGGAAAATAAACCGCCCGATCGCATTGTATATCTTCCCCGATACAGAAGTCAGTATTTCCCATCCTATGGAGGGCGATCCTATAGAATCCAGGAATATAGATCTATAGGGGTCATGGGGGGGGACAGGTTCGCTTTGTGTTTGATGACATATGTAGGACTATGCACAGAGCAGGCTCATGTCTGGAGACGTGTATACAGGGGGATGCTGCTGGGGGGGAGGGGGGGGGCATTGTCAGTATACAAGGGGGATGGATGGGGGGGGGGAGGGGACATTGTCAATATACAGGGGATGCTGCTGGGGGATGGGGGACATTGTCAGTATACAGGGGGATGCTGCTGGGGGATGGGGGACATTGTCAGTATACAGGGGGATGGGGGACATTGTCAGGATGGGGACTTCTGGACACACTTGGACTAGTTTAGGGCTCTTGTTTGTGTATATATATATTGTCGGATTTTGTATTATGAGAGTTTTCAGTGATTAAAAAAAAGAAATCGATCTTCCCAGATAAAACGGTATATGGATGGTTCGCTGTATCAGATTTGGCGGTAAGAGGGCGGATTGTCTGTGACGTCACATAGAATTCCGGCGGGAGATTTGAATGAAGCAATTAGAAAGTTGAGCCAATGACAGTTATAGACGTTTCCTTCAGATAGTAAAAACATCTTTTTTTCTACGTGGAGTGTGAAGGAGGTGATGAGATCTGTTCCCAGTCAGTCGGGAGGATCGTTGTTCGGTATATATTGAACGATCTCTGATCTTCAGGAGAAACTCATCACCACTCAAGGAAGGCGGATAAGATCAGTCCCTGGAATAAGATGTCATTTCCCCAGAGTCTCACACTGAAAGTATTTTCTATGAATGTATAACATTTGTCCTTTTCGCTAAGATAAAGTGTAGTATCTATTCTTATCAGTGTCCAGTAGGGGTGCTCCACGGCCATTCTAGCTTTGTGGTGATGGCTGGTTGTATAGTACCCCTGCTGGAATGATGGGGGTCTGGACGGCTGGAACAGAAAGTGTGGCGCCCACAAGTAGTAGCTGGGGCCCGTGAGTAATTCTCCCGAGAAGACCGGAAGGACCCAGTTCCTCCTGATTCGAACGGATCTACCTTGTCTGGCCAGGGGTCGGGAAGGCAGAAAGTCTGCAAACCAGTGCCCCCTGAGTGGTCGCCTCATGTTTGCCCTTAGTAACACACTGGGTGTGGGACCCCAGTGTGAAAAGGCACATGGCCACTGTGTTTACCACTTTTCCTGCACAGCCCCCTTAGGACCAGGCCTTCTGGCTAAGTTCGGGGCAATTTTTGCTACAGGCCTCAGGGCCTGGTCTGTGCACAATTTGGCACGACCACTTTTTTTTATTATCTATTTATTTCATTTATTTCACCTCCCACGTCACTTTGTCTTTCTTATGTGTGCGTTTTTCTCAGGATGGAGGGTGTGGGTCCTCGGGCCTGCCCTGAAGTCTAGGGGGAGGATGTGTGGCCTTTTGGTTCCTTCCTCCCCTGTCCCTGGGGGGTTTTTCTACTCTCTTCGGGAGAGCCCCCTGACCAAGTACTGGGTGGCTGGCTTCAGCTGGCCACAAGGAACGGTGGTCCACCAGGCCTTTTGGCCAGGAGGACCAAATGGGAACCTTGTCCCTGTCAGGAGCTTCGTGCCCCGGGGGATCAGGGTAGTGGTCCATCCCCTTCGTAGGAGAGACAAAGCACACCCCTAAGTACATTTCTTTTCGTGTGGTGTTTTGCACTTACACTTATTTTGTGAACACTTATGGGTTTTTTTGCACGTTTGCGGACTTAAAAAAAAGAAAAAAAAAA